AGTGAAAGGCTTCTGTTCTCAACCAACGGTGTTCATTGACATTTTAAAATGGCTTTTCCTTGACTCGAACTTGGTCAAGAACGATTAACAAAACTTGTCCTTGTAAGGGTGTAAGTAATAATTAAACTTAACTTAAAAGATAAACAGTTGTAATACGCGTACAAAAGTACTGAAAATACCTTACTACTGTACTAGATACAGCCTCAGACTATTTGAAAAGTGCGTAACTCATTTATTAAATAATACTTTGCTTAGCGATATTGGACTGTTTTGAAAGGATTAACTTATAATAAGCATATTTGCAAGCCCTTTCTGTAAATGTATACATGGGACCATGTAATACACAAAAACAGAAAATGAAATTGATGAGAGTACGAGACTGTAGCACTTGGGGTTAAAATGTCTCGAGTGTTCCGAAAGGTATTATCTATTTAGGCCTAGTAAAGTGAGTGATAACCACTACAAAGTATCCAGGCCCACGCACGACCCACGTGCGACAAATACCTCAGGCGATTGCAATTTGTATGTAATGTTTTGTAGACAATCAACCGATAATATTATTCTCTGTGTTTACTCGACGGGATATTGGATAATTGGGTGATCATTATCTTGTGACTCCTCTCCCCTCCCCCAAAAAGTACAAATGATTGTATCATTTTCAGATCATCAAGAATGCATCCAGTGAACCCCCTCCCCTAGCTTATGGTTCGAAAATGAATGAAAATGATGACAACAAATTTAAAGGCTTTAAAAATGATGTAGAGACAAATTATTCGGCAGATACCCAGACTGAATTTACAATAGTAATATTAATAACAATTTCTGTTTAGTGTTAACTAGGACAAATGAATGGGTTAACTAACGGTACGCAGCTGCAGGCTGTGTTTTCATCAAAGAGACGTGGTTCAATGGGGATTTTTTTTTTCTGCTAAATTACAATCCTGATAGTTTTCAAGTTATGTAATCTCTTGGGGGTAAATCAATCAAGTTTTGTCATACATACTAGCTTGTGATCACACACAATTCGCTGAAGCATGGTCAATAGTGGCGACTCTGGGCATGCGCGGTATTGCCTTTCGTCTAACATTTTCTGCCTTGTTATCTGACTGTATAGAAAATGAAGGGAAGGGTGAGACATTAACAACGATTGGCCTACTTTGTTTGTTAATTATACCACAGTTACCTATATTTATAGTAATGTGATATAATAATAGCTTCTGCTTCTATTGAATTTGTTTATTTGAGCTATATTAATAATTTTATGACATTGCATTATGCTTTTGCTTCGAATCAAATCGAAATAAACTGTAGCGCCAAAACATGTGAGTAGTGATGGCAACTTCAAGAGTTTTCCTTTTCTTTTGGTTTTCTATATTAAATTAGACACAGGTAGTAATTAATTTGATACACAAGAAGGAAATCTTAAAGACAAAAATAATAAATTAGAAATAAACTAATAATTAAATAATAATTAACTAATAATCTAAATAATTAATAACTAATATAAATAATTCATAATAATAAACCAATGATATGTTATCAGTAATTATTATGATTACTGATAATATATTTTATTATTATTATTATTATTAATATTATAATATTATCGACAAATAATATTATCAAAATTTTCAGTTTTATAATCTCAATTGAATACTACGGTACTTCATTTCACTCACTTTCTAACTTGCCATATATATTATTGGTTTCACTCGTTTTTTTTTGTGTATATTATATCTTGTACGATTTTCCACATTTCTATTTTGTTTGTTGTGACGTTAATTTCTTCGAAGGGGTGGGGGATGTAGGTAGAGGTGCTTGACGATTTCCTGCTTGTCACCTGTTCATCCCTTTCTTTTCGCTGCATTTTCTGTTTTGTCTTCTGATATTTTTACTAGTTTTGTGTGCAGTGATGAAGCTTAATAAATAAATAAATAAATAAATAAATAAAGAAATAAATAAATAAAGAAAGAAATAAAGAAAATAAATAAATATTATTTAAACAATATGCCTACACTACCTTATATTCAATTTGATGCTTACTTTCAAAATTAAAATTACAGTATTATTTTCCCTAATAAACAAACCCATCATTGTTTCTATACGGCATTGATATTTGCTAACCCTTTAAACTGAATAGGATAAATCAAGGAGGTAAATACCTGATATCTGATAAAATAAAACCCGTACTGTATATGTATTATAATATGTTCTTATACATTTTACCATATTATATTTTCCTTCATTTTTTATACATTATGTTCCTGTTTTATATTCATATTTAGCATTTGAGTAACATATACATATAGGCCTACTTTATTAATTTTAGATTTATTATATCTACTCTATATCCATGTCATAGGACTATACTGTCATTAATTTCGTGCGATATTGAGGCTTTTAGTTCCGGAGCTTTTTCAGTTCTTATTGCTATTGTTTGGTTTCGACTTATTATTTATCCACGCCCTTTTAAAGGTGAATGCTTAATTTCATTTTTGTTTATTGATCATCTTACGTCCGTTAGTATTCTATGTATAAGAAGCTGCTGTTTTTCCAGTTTTCTGTGCCCTGAGAAGTCTTATAGCCGAAAAAGTTTGTGTGAACTTATAATTAAATTTTGGAAAATCCATGGGAAATCTTATACCTTGTTTGATCGTTTTTATTATATATTTATATATAATATATTACTTGCTTTGCACCCTTGGATGTTTTGAGTTTAGGTAATATAATACTGTATCGTTGATTAAAGTTTAATGGGACCAAGTATGATGGAGAGCATGACATTGAGGGTGACCCATAAAGTACGTACTGATGAGCACATCAATTAAAATCTTGGAGGTAAATTACAAATAACCATGAAGGAATTGTATAACGATGCAGGTTAACATGCGTCGGGCGTTCCGAAAGGTAACTAGGTCATTGATCAAGATAAACCAATCAGCGCTCACCTAACGGAATGCTAATACATTGGTTACGCAACCTTGACTGAGTTGTGACCGAATCGTATCATCGGCGCATGCGTAGTGTTCGATTACGTAAGGTACGATTCATAATCAATTTGCCTTGAAAGGGCTTATACAGTATAAAAAGCTGAGTATAACTCATGGGTCGTCACACTACTGTGTTTATTTCTAATTCAACATAAACTTACGCAACACGACTTGGAATTATTATTTTGGATAACTATTACTACTATATTTTGGATTTGTTAACACGTGATCTTAAACCGGTTACTGAGGTAGGTGACCAATTGTTAGCACTTGACTGTTGTCTTTTAAAAACAATTATTTAATTATGTTTTAATTATATCAATTCCCTGATCATTAGAAACACATACGAATGCTTTATTTTTTGTTTAACTTCACTACAAAATTCCGAGATTCAAAATTAATTGAAAGCTTAAGTAAGGGAAGAATATAAAGGACAGACATTCATTGATGTGTAGGCTAGCGAAGTATTGCTTCTTTTTTATAAGAACACATTTCATAAGAACACTGAGGCTGAAATCGCTTAAAAATTAAGAATAAAATAAGAACAAATTGAGGCTGACGTAAAATGTCAAATGAAGTTTTTATTTAAAAAAAATAGAAACCCCCACCCCCAACAAATATTATATAGGGGCCTATGTACTGTACCTTATTTACAGTAACTGTGACTAAGTAATGTAATGCCCTCTATAATACAGTACAGTACTGTATATACTGCTGTACAATAATAATTTTTTTGAAAATTGTGTAAAAATAAGAACAAAATATGAACATTTTGAGCCTGAAATCGGCAAGGAATAAGAACACTGAGACGATGGGAAAAATGTTACTGGTTATAAAAAAAAAGAAGTTGTTTACTGTATTAGTGTAGGAAATTTGAATCAATGTAGGCCTAGTGCATTTTAAAATTCGAAATTTGTGCGTTTAGTTGTGTGTGCTTTTTCATTCACTCGTGTTCAACTTATTTTCTGCTGGGCATCATTATCTGTTGTTTCCTGTAATCTGCCTACAAAAGAAAGTTACTACCATTTCCGCCTGCAAAATAAATCCAATACTGTTGCTCTTCCTGCTACTAGTAGTATAGTAATAGTTATTCTACTCTAGTATTATAGGCCTATAACGATTGTTAAAAGTACCGTACTACTTACTAGCTAGTTACTGTGTATACCGAAGTGCGGATGCATTTAAGATTATGGCACACTCAGAAATGGAACCAGAGTAAGATTTCTGTTTAAACTAATTGTTTCAAATTCAGTAGTTAAAGTTTATATTGTTGACAATGTTTCAGTAGTGTACCATGTGTACAGTATTTTGATTTACTTATTATTTTGAAATTTTAAGACAATTTTACAGTATTTTCCTATATTTTTATATGTCTGTTCGATGCACCATACATTTTGTATGAGTGCCACTGTATCAAAAGTGGATCCAATAAATTGATTGATTGATTGATTGATTAAGTCTGAAAAAATTTAGAGGAGCCCGGGCTGGCTCTCACCGCCCCCACCCCCTCTTGAATCTGCCACTAAATAACTATAGTATACTGTAGCTTATGAAATTGAAATCGAGGGTATTGGGGTTAATTCCTGATACAGTACGTTTTAAATATTTCAGCATTAAGAAAATATTAGTGTGTTGACCAGCTAGACGTCATAATACAGTTGGTAAAGCACGACGGTAAGAATCCTGATAACCAGGGGCGGATTTAGTGGGGGATTTAGAAAAGTAAAACAAAAAGAAAAAAGAAAAGGAAGAAAGTAAGAAAAAAAAAATCGCCCAAATTGCCTCAGAGGTTATTTTCGGGCGTTTAGAACATCAGATTTTCGCGGGGTATACCCCCGGACCCCGGGTAGTGTTATCTCGATGGCCCCACTTTTTACCCCCTTCGGACATCTCTTGATGCGCCCCTGATAACGTGACGTTCTGTTTTTTTGGAATTTAAATAGAATAACATTAATACTTAATAGATACGTTCGGCTCACAATTGAAAGTTATGATATTTATATTTTTCAGATTTTTTCCGGACCAGCAGGCCAAGAATTCCCTCCTTACAGTTATACGCCAATGCCAAGCGAAGAGCCACAAAATTTATGCATTAGAGCACCACCAACACAACGTCGGACGACAATTTTATCATCGTCTGCTTCAAGTGCTTCAACTGCATATGTGTCACAGGCTTTGAAACTGCCTTTGGAAATGCCGATAAAACAAGAACCCAACGATAACTTTGAGAGTGAAGGATTTTTAACACCAACTAGGCTACAGTTCCAACCCACCATGAATGACTCTGTTTCAGTCGAAGTTGACGGGTCTGAGAACGACTCCGCCCTATCTCGTAAAGAGCGAGCATTTATGCCCGAAAATCGGAAAGACGACAACTACTGGGTCAAGCGGAGGAAAAACAATGAGGCGGCCAAGCGATCACGAGAAAAACGCAGAGCGCTTGATCACTTGCTGGAGAGTAAGGTACTTGCCCTTAACGAAGAGAATTCACGTTTAAAGCGCGAGTTGGATTTGTTCATGGGAAAGGACAGAGTGACAGAGAAAACAAAACAACATTTGAATGGAACTGTTTTGCCTCTCGATATGCACCATCGTCATTTGATGTCAGCAGACAATTTGAGTGCGCAAATGGCAGACCGAAAACCAATTTCTTATGACTTTATGTACAGAAGCCCACCAATGGCTAGGTTATCTAATCGATTGTATCCGTACACCATGCCATCAATGTGTTCGGATTTGGTTATTTCACAAAGCGAACGAAGTGTACCTCAATTTTTTGGAAACGATAAGCAAGTTTTCTACCTTGCCTCGTCATCAAAAGGGACAATTAAATATGAAACAAAACCGAATCATACGTTCTTGACAAGCCAGCATTCTAGTATTAAAACGTCTCCAAATGGACATTACGATTCATACGAACCCGCTAACAAAAGAACAAGAATAGAAACTGAAAGAAATGATAAAGCTGTTAATATAAATCCCCACGGTGATGATTATAATAATGACAACAATTCTGATGACGTTTCAAAAAGTGACGTTGGAGATGTGAGCAACGACCATCGCTCTTCGTCAAGCCCCGGTCGTCTTTCCCCAACGCACAGTGCGTTTGCTAGTGGTATTGATGCCAAACGCTTACCGCATAAGTTGAGAGCCAAACTCGGAGCTGTGTCTCCAACTGAAAGCAATACACCAAACTCTCCAACATTTCAAAATTTAGAAACGCAAGACGACAGCACTTCTCTGTCGAGAGTCAATCTGGAAAAATTCAACGCGGACGACAGTACCGTTCATTCGGACTTGCGTAACGTTCGGCTTGAGATCGGCGGCATTTGTACACCACCATCTAGTACAACAAGTGAGGATAATGCGCAGAGCTTAGACGCAGATAAAAATACATTGACCACCAAAACATCACAAGCTGTAGAGAAAAATGGTGATGAACATTCGTTTGAAATAAAACAAGAACCGACAGATTGGACTGAGAATATTAATGCAACGTTCACTTCCACACAAGCTACTCGATTAAGCCACGAGAGGATGATGAAGGCCGCCCAAGCATTAACGGAAATGGAAGCGTCTGAGGCAAGGACGCAAAAGAGTGCTCAATCTTCACAGATGTCGTCAAATGATGCAAAATACTGGGAAAAGCGTCGTCGCAACAACTTTGCGGCGCGAAAATGCCGCGAGTCAAAACGTCTACTTCATGAATATCGGTGTGCGCGCGCATCGTATTTAGAGCACGAAAATAGCCAACTTCATTCCGAAATCGACATACTCACAAAAGATGTAGCAAGCCTGAAAGAAATGTTAAAAGCGAAGCAACAACTTCGTGTTGCATAGAATTAACTAGAGACACTTAGTCCTTCCAATGGCTGTTTAAGTTTCTATAAAGTAGGCCTATGCAATGGATTGACAGTTACCTAGCGGTCTATTATGTAGCAATAACTTTAAAACAAAAAGCTATTTGAGAAATTGCATGGAATTAGCTGATTTCCGTCAATGACACTTAAAGTACAAACGTTTGGTAAACGCTCCGCTTTGAGTGATTAAACTGGTGGGCACTACCTTCCCATCCTAACGCACATTACACACGGTATTGTTAACCTAACAAAATTCCCATTGTAGAAAAATTATTAATCCGCTAAAAAGAAAATGCTGCTCCGTTGATCTTAGTTGTGACTTTCTACAAAGAGTAGGCCTATATTATAAAACTATTCTATACTCTTTGGTTTTTATGTTCGTTTGTTTATATAAATGATCTGGATATAGTTCTACTGTATCAATAAAACGATAAAAACTCAGTTGTGTTTTTCTAGTATTTTTGTCAAACAATCAATTAAACAATCAATCAATCAATTTAATAATTGTATTAAGCGCTTTTTCCCTGGATCACATCGCTTTTCATAATTCACTATTATTCAATGACTTTTAACTGTATAACATAACAATAGAAGAATTTTTTTACATATATTCATTATAGACTAGAAAAAAAATCTGAAAAAAATGAGTTACGGGGAGTGGAATGTTAGAAGCAATCCACATAGCCAGATATCCTAATTAATCCCTTCTGGTCACCCTAAGCCCTGTTGACACTTGATTTTACTCCTTGTATACAAATGGCGGCCATTTTTCAAAATGGC